CTTGAATCCCACTTGACAAACCCTGACTGGATACTGGATTTTGAAATGTTTTGAAGGCATTGTGGGATGAGAGAACAGATAAATCCTGGGGCCCACAAAGCTGAAGTCCTTGGTTTGACTGTCGAAGAGCTGGTGGGGTAACATTTTTTCCTTGGTTCGCTGATACCATGATCGATGAAAGGTTAGAGCTTTGCTGATTAAAAGAAATACCTTGAGAGAGATTTGGGATATCTGTGGCAAACAGCGAGCTGGATGATGGAATGCTGCCAATATGAGAGGTTTTATACATGTCAGCATGAGGGTTGTTTCTGGAAGATACAGTGTTCAAGTTGTTAGTACAACTCTGATGAGATGCCTGCATGTGGTCATAGGAGGTGGGGAGAAGGCTGACAAGCGGGTTCTGAGATGAAGCTCCTGACCAGCCATTCTGGGCCATCCAAGACGGACAGGGAATGTGGCTCTTATTTGCTGTCGGGTTATCCATCACTCTCCATCACCATTAAAGTTCACTGCTTGAAAGTCTCCTTTACTTCCTTGAGTAGAGGTCCTAACAGAAATAGAACATTATAATACCAGAATTTCATTACTTTTCTGTGGTGTGTTTTGAATTTTTAATTCAGGTTTTCAAAGCTGAAAACGGGCAGAAGACAATAGAAAAATCATAAAATAATGAATCAATACCAAAACATTTTGGAAAACGCAAACGTAAGAACATGCAAGAAGGGAAAATGTAGTAACTGAAATCAGCCTTTCGCTTTACGAAAAACAGGTCAGCTTAGCACCAAAATGTGTTTTAGCTGAGTGGGTCACCGACCCTTGAAGCTGCACCGCACCAAATAACATATCAGTCTCTGAATGATATTTTTAAAAAAGAAATACTTACTGGGCATTGATGTTTACAGCGAGAAATGGACAGTTGCGTTTAAACTGCTGCAAATACAGTCGAAACGAGAAAAACGTAACTAGCTTAACAATGTGCTATCAAGTCAGTTTTTTTAACTAGCTGTTAGCTGTTAGCGCACTCAGCATCAAAAACCATAAAAATATCCGTAAAACTGATACTAGTTCTAAAATTAGTGATATGAAATAAACAGAGTGTGCAAAAAATCTATTTAATTTCCCGCAAACCGCTTTAGAAATCAGGAAAAACCATACCTGCGGCCATAACCGGAAGTAGTGGTCGTTGTTTACATCACAGCATCACTGAGAAAGTAAAACTTCCGTCTATTTTTTCCAAAATAAGATACAGTTCTATAATTATAAAATAAATTGGACTTTCACTTAAAAAAAATTTAATGAGCCAAAGGTGGAAGAAATTGTATTTATTTAAAAATAATTCCTGCCACGCTGTAAAAGCTCAATAACGAGCAAACAAAGGTATTTTTTTAAATTAATGTTACTGCATCCTTCCTTACGATGTCACATTCATCAGCCGTAAGTGGCGTTAAATCTGTTGGAAGAGAAGCAAGAGATACCCAGACTGGTTCTTTCTCATCATGTAGCCATGTAGCATCTGATATGTGCTGTTCCAACTTATCAACCTAAGATCAGTTTGTTGGCTGACCATTTCCCCATAGACAGCCCCCTACTGGTGATAAATCTCATCAAAATACATTCAGTACATTTCAAAACAGAAATATTCCTTTTGTTTACAGTTATTATCATCGTCATTAACATATTTTTTAAAAAACAAAAATATATCTAATTTCTCAAGCAACGAATCATTTCTTTTGTGGGATGAAAGAAAATATAATCAGTCACGGACTATTTTCAATATAAAAAAGTCACAAATGTAACTCATCTCCATACAGTCATCTTAAAATGTGTTTATTGCAGTCCATGTAACTAAGTTAAAGAATATAATCCACCCACTGTTATCATCTTCAATGCCCTGTACCAACATAGAGGAGAGCAGATCTGAACGCTACTCCAACAGAGGTCGATTATCTTGTTAATAATTTTACCTCCTCACTACGTACGACTCTGGATACTGTAGCTCCTGTGAAAACTAAGGCCTCAAATCAGAAGTATCTGACTCCGTGGTAT